TAATTCTGTATTTACCTTTTCAGTAAGTACCTCTTAGTGCAATGTCCTGTTTGTGTTTGCAAAGCTTAGCCTACTACCCATCCTGAAATCTTCAAAAGTAAGTTGTACGTTCAGTATTACCCACACTTCACAAAAGAATAAACCGAAATCTACAGAGGTTATTACTTAAAGTCCCCCAGAATTCCTGTTATTCCAAGTCACCTCCTTTTGCTATGACATAACTAGATAAACTGTACATTTATAACACAGGGTGACAGCAAGTAAAGTTGAGTTTACCGCCTACATACTGATTATACCTTCAGAGTACCTTTAGGAGGCATATTTTTAAAAAAATACATTTTATTGATTTATTTTTAGAGAGAGGGAAAAGGAGGGAGAAAGGGAGAGGAATGTCAATGTATGGGAGAAACGTTGACTGATTGCTTTTTGCATGCCCCAGTTGGGGATTGGGGACCCGGCCTGCAACTTGGGCATATTTCCTGATTGGGAATCAAACTGGCAACATTTTGGTCTTCAGATTGGCGTTCAGTCCATTGAGCCACACCAGCCAGGGCTAGGAGGCATATTTAATAGTAAAATAAAGTGGTGTGTGCCCTGGCTGGTGTGGCTCAGTGAATTGAGTGCCAGTCTGTGAACTAAAGGGTTGCCAGTTTGATTCCCAGTCAGGGCATATGTCTGGGTTGCAGACCAGGTCCCCAGTAGGGGACTTGCGAGAGGCAACGACACACTGATGTTTCTCTCCCACTCTCCCTCCCTTCTCCTTGCACTAAAAATAGATAGATAAATGAATGTGTGTAAAAAATTTTTAATGCATTTTATTAGCTTTTTTCAAGCTAGTGACTTCAGACTTTATTATTTGTATGTTTTTAATTTTCAAGCATTTTGTTTTCTGTGAATATTGTGTAATATCCCAGATGTTTTAAAACTTCTGTATGTTCTCATTTCTGACTGGGGGAGAAACAGCAGTTCAATTGAAAGAATGAATAAAGGGATTTCCCAGCAAAGGTTAGTTTTCAGTATCTTTAATTATTTAATATTTTCTGGTGTTAAGTAATAAAAGTTTATAAACTGATTCTGGAAATAAGGCCTGAAATAATTAGTGCCCCTCTGCATGCTATATTCTGTGTCAAATTGGATATACATATCTCATTGAATTTTTCCTACCTTTACAAGTTACTGAGAAGTAAGAAGGTCCTGGTCATGGAAGGGGTGGAGTTTGCCATGTCACTGGGACAAGAAACTAATTCAGTCTCTAAAGAGCAGGAAGGAGATGACACCTGTTTGGGCCTGTGGTAAGGAAAGAAGGTAGCAGCGTCCCTACCCTGGCCAGAGTCTCTGTAGCAGATTCCCCGACTCCTGCTGGGAATTCACCTTTCCCAAGGGAGACTGGTGCTGTCTGAGTTTGTTAGTGTAGGTGGATTGCTCCCAATGTAAGTAATTAAAATTTAAGTATAGTCAGAAGGTAAGTGGCTGAGCCCCTGATCAGCTAGTATCTATCTACTTTCAGGCAGACTGGCTAGTTTTTATGAAGGAGTAGACTATGATATGAATCGTAGATGATTTTTTCACAAGTAAATTTCACAGTTGATCGGATTGGGAGTGGAGGGGTAATTCTTTTTGAAAAGCAAAAGCTTAACCCTTACCATTTAATTCCTCTTTTAGGACATGGCTAAAGTAGGGATGAGGAATGTCCTGCTCAGTTTGTGCAAACTTTTTCTTCCAGTGATAGAGCTGTTTCACATCCTCATTTTGATGATGAAAAAATGGGTACAGAGAAGTAAAAACTTGCTCCCAATAAGGGTTCTGGGTTTATTAGAAGGGTTTTGGGTTTACTTTGGTTTTGGTAAATTTCTCTCATCTAAGGTGCTTGAACACTTGTTTAGTGCCAACTTAAAAAAAATAAACACAGTTTTTAAAAGTTTTTGTTGTTCACCGTTGGCAATGAAAAAGATCAGTTCTGCCATCCTCCGGGACTCTTGATATGTTTGGGTGATGGGTGAGAGAGAAGAAAGCAGTTTGCAGTAGCCAAACAGAACACCAGAGAAGCGTCTGTTGTTTTACTTGATGGTTGGTGCTTGGGCTTGAAAGGAGGGAAGTCAAGAAGAGAAAGGTAGGCTCCCTGCTAGATAGGCAGGAGCCCATAGTCTGTACCCACACAATACCTGCGAATATTCAGAGGCAGGGTGGCTTTTGGAGACGACCTCTGTCAGAACAGATCAGAATAGCCCAAAGCATTCAAAGTAAGTAGCAATAGTGTTAGAAAGGAATTACTCTTTTTCCTGAAGTTTGGAGTGACAGCTGAAAGATATCATTGGTGTTTTGGGGGTTTTTTGCTATGCGGTTTGGTATGAATTTTCTAAGAGACAGATAACTGTTTCTGTTTACCATCCAAAGAAATACTAAGGCTAGAAAAGGAAGAACAGAGGTGGACTTTTTGGAGGACTTGAAATTGAACCTTTGTGGCTATGAGCTGGCCCAGTATTTCCCTCATTGGCAAAATTCTTGACCTTGGGGAAGAAACTCTTTATTATTATAAAATAGTCCATGTGTGCTTTTATGCCAGGCTTGCCATTCCTTAATTGCTGTACCTTTAAGTTTCTTCAGAGCTTACCCTCAGGGAAACTGCTTAGTGCTCACTTAGAAAAATTATCCATGTGTCCATGAGTAGCTAGCGTAAGTGTAAAAAAAAAAATACTTTACCAATAAGATTCTTTTTTTTTCCCTCCCCCAAGGAATTTTTTTAAAGATTTTATTTATTTATCTTTAGAGGGTAAGGGAAGGAGAGAGGGAGAGAACTATCAATGTATGGTTGCCTCTTGTGCATCCCCCTGCTGGGAACTGGCCTGCAACCCAGGCATGTGCCCTGTGTGGGAATGGAACCACGATCCTCTGGTTCGCAGGCCCGTGCTTAATCCATTGAGCTATGCCAGCCAGGGCCTGTTTCGTTTTTTTTTTTTTTAATGTAGTGAAAAAAAATACACATAGTTGGGCCTTTTGTTTCTGCAGTAACCTTGACATAAGAATCAGTTGCCAGATGCTATTTCTCTGGGGGTGTGGGTTTTATCATTGTCCCTTAATCTGGTTCTGAACACAAGTGACCCGGTGCTGAATTGTTTCTGTGAAGTTTGTGGAGCTGGTTCCTCCTTTGAATTCACTTTCTAGCCTGACAATGACTATTAAAGACAGTTGAGAATTTGTTTCGTAAACAGGTCTATTGTTAACATAAGTGAACCGAAATATGTCTCATTGATAAAAGTTATTTTCAGGGCTTGCATAAAAAAGCACACTGGTAAAAAAATTACAATATTAAATATTTCTGTATATGCCAAACAAGTAGTTGGAAGTGAGCTCACAATTTTTACAGTGGATTTTGGAGTCTGTAGACTTAGAGGCCTTAGCTTTTTGGGGTGGTTAATCAAAAAATATTTAATACCCCTGGCTGATGTGGCTTAGTGCTGGGCTGAAAACCAGTGGTTCACTGGTTCATTTCCCAGCCAAGGCACATGCCTGAGTTGCAGGCCAGGTCCCCACTGGGGGGTGGGAGGGTACATGTGAGAGACAACCACACATAGAAATTTCTCTCCCTCTCTTTTTACCCTCCCTTCCCCTCTCAATCAGTCAATATTAAAGAATTTCTAGAATCAAAATTTTAAAAGATGTAGTTTATAAATCTTTTCCCCTCTCATAATTTTCTCAGCTGTTATGAAATATTCACACTTCTAAAAACAAGTTGATAAAACAGCCCACATTGGCACTGGTATTTTGGATTACTTATGTACTGTAATTAGAAGATAGTTTAACCTTGTACTTGGAATTTACTTAAAATGTGTTTGATTTTAAATTGGAGTGATTGTTATTTGCTGACAAATGATTCTCCTTTCAGACTTAGTTGCAGAGCATAAATGGAGAAGCATGTAGAGGGTGAGCCATTTGGTCCCTTCATTAGGTTTGGGTTTTTAATGTTAGCATTCTCTGATGTTTTTAGGGGAAAGAAATGGGAAAACAGCTGTGGAGACTGTCAGTATCTATGTGAACTTCACTAGGATTTTGACCATGAGTAGATCCCACCTGCAGAGAGTTGATGATTTTTGAAGCTGGATGATAGGCACACTTGGGTTTCTTACACTACTTACTGTTGTGTGTGTTTGAATCAACCCTTCCATAATAAAAATCAGTTTTAAAAAATAGAGCCCAGTTGGCTATAAGGCCTGCCTTTCTTAACCGTCGTTAAAGTTATAAAAGAACAAAACAACTTCATTGTGGTGAGGTCCCCCCAAATGGACTTTTAGTGATTAATGTGCAGTTATATTTATTTAGGGCCATGTGGGAATTACCATTTTAGATTTAAAAAAATATCTTACAAAAAAGTAGGTAGATGTTTTAATTCTCTGTTACAGATAAAAGAATCAACACCATTAACTGTGAATGTTACCAACTTTTTTTAGCATAATGTAGAAAGCTACCTGTAATCACTGGCTAAACAATTACACATAAGAAGTAAATGCTCTGTCCTTTCTGTTCACTTCCTTTTCATACCTTCATGCTCCACAGAGGTAACCATTGTTTATAGTTTGCTTTAGTGCTTATATAGATCTGTCTTTTATCTACTGATTAATTTTAGAGAGGGGAAGGGAGAGAGAAAGAGGCAGAGAGACATTGATGTGTGAGAGAAACATCAATTAGTTGACTCTCGCATGCACCCCATTTGGGGACCCTGCTGCAACCCAGACGTGTGCCCTGACTGGGAATTGAAACTGACCTTTTGTTTTCTGGGACAACGTCCAAACAGCTGAGTCACACTGGTCAGGTCAGGGAATAGATGTGTTTTATGTGTACACCTGTACCTATGTATTATACATTTTTAAAGCAAGTTCTACCAAATTCCATATAATTAACTAAAGTTTGAGAATTATTTATCTATTTATTTATCTATTTATTTATTTATTTATTTATTTATTTATTTATTTATTTATTTATTTATTTATTTATTTATTTTCTCTCCATGTTTCCCTATTCACAATACAGATCAGGGAGAGGGCCTGGGCTGAGGTGTATATGGGGCGGGTTTACTCTACCGCCTCTTTCTCAACAGGTGGTGTAAGAACACAGCCTGTGGTAGGCACCGGGAGGCCAAGTTTGAGAATTTTAGTAATGATTTTTTTTTACCCTAGAGAAACCCACAGCTGCTCTTGAGTCTGTTTTCCTCTTCTCCCTCCACTTTCCACAGGAAAGTGTAATCTCCTGAGAAAAGCGTGAAATAGTAAACATGTTTAATATTTCACCTGAGTCCTGCTTTCCTGCCCGTAACTATGGGCCAGTGGCATGCAGAGCACAAATCAGTCCCACTGCTTTGCCTATAATCCTTTGCAAATTGTAAATTGCTTTCTTTTCTTTAATTTTAATTTTATATATTGACCTTAGAGACATCAGTTTAGTGTTCCACCCACTGATACATTCGTTGGTTGAGTCTTGTATGTGCCCTGACCAGGGATTGGACCTGCAACCTTGGCGTACCAGGATGATGCTTTAGTCAATGGAGCTACCAGGCCAGGGCTACATCGTGTGTGTGTGTGTGTGTGTGTTGTGTTGTGTTGTGTTGTGTTGTGTGTGTATGTGTCTATGAGGATGCGTTTATTAAAGCTGGGGACAGTGAAACAAGAAAGGGCTTAGCATAGCAGAAGCCACAGGGGAGCCTAGCCTAGGCTGCCTGAGCGCCCTGGGAAGTCAGAGAAAAGACACCTTTGGGGTAAGGATCAGGAGATCAGCCTGTGCCAAACTGCCAGCTGCCCATCACCTTAGAGTTTAGGAGACGAGTGCCTGTGAAGAAGGAAGTGGAAGAAGGAGGAGAAGGGAATGACTTGGGCTGCTCCCCAAAAGAACGTGCGTGTATCTTTTATCTCCCATCATTTGTGTCTTTTATCACCAGCAATTTCGGAGGGAACTAGGATAGCTAAAACTGTTTTTGAAAAAGGAAGACATTGGAGAATGTTTGTTTGGTTGTCATCCCACAGAAGCAGAGGGTGCCTGTCGGGTTCCCCGTTAGGGCACATAGAAGAGGCGACCAACTGACTGATCCATGTCTCTCTCACGTTGATGTTTCTCTTCCTCTCTCCTTTCCCCTCTCTCTAAAAATAAATAAATCTTTTTTAAAAGTACTACAAAGCTATAGGGATCAAGACTGGTATTGGTATAAGTGTAAACATGACATCAGTGGAATAAAATTGAGAGTACAGAAATAAACCTTCACATGTGTGATCAGTTGATTGTTTTACAAAGATGCCAAAACATTTCAGTGGGGGAAGAATAGTCTTTCAACAAATGGTACTGGGACATTTGGATACCCACACACAAAAGAATGAAGTAGACCCTTACCTTACACCGTAACACAAAATTTAAATCAGAATGGGTCATAGATCTAAATGTTAGAGCTAAAAGTATATAAAACTGTTAGAAGACAACTTAGTGAATCTTTGTGACCTTGTGCAAACCCTTCTTAGACATGACAGACATCAAAAGCACAAACAGCAAGAGAAAAAAGATAAATTGGACTTCATTAAAAAAACTAAAATTTAAAAACCCTTGTGCTCCAAAGGTTAGGATTAAGAAATTGAAAAGACAACCTCCAAAAATGGGAGACTGCAAAACTTGCATTGAAAGAACTTGTATTCAGGATTTATAAAGAACTGTACAACTCATTAAAGGACAGATAATCCAGTAATTTGATTTTAAAAATGGACAAAGGATCTGAATAGACAGTTCTCCAAAAGAAGGTACACAGATAGCCAATACACATATGAAAAGATGCTCAGTGTCACTAGTCATTAGGGAAATGAAAATCAAAACCTCAGTAAGGTAGCACTTGACACCCAGATGGCTGTAATAAAAAAAGACAATAACAAGTATTGAAGATGTAGACAAATGGGATCCCTCATATGCATTTGGTGGAAGTATAAAATTATATAGTTGCTTTGGAATATAGTTTGGCAGTTCCTCACAAAGTTAAGCGTAGAAGTACCATATGGAATGAGCAGTACCACTCCTAGTTATGTATCTCAGAGATAAAAAACATTTTCACACAAAAACATGCACGTGAATGTTTATAGTACATTATGCATAATAGCTAAAAACTGGTAACAACCTCAGTGTTCATCAGCTGATGAATGGATAAAATGTGATGTATCCTGGTGGGAAAAAATGATTGATGTGCTATTGATAACATGCTACAACACTGGTGAGTCTTGAAAACATGCTAAGTGAAAGAAGCCAGTCACAGAACCCCACGTATTGTGTGAGTCTATGTATGTGAAGTGTACAGCACAGGCACATGGATTAGTGGTTGCCTAGGACTGTGAGGGTGGGGGGTACGTGGAAGGAGGTTTTACTGTTTTAGTTTTTCACACTATTTTTCTGCTGTGTTCTGGTTAATCTTGAGAACAGTGCTGCACTGAAAGGTCTGGTGTAACAGGTACATTCTAGAGCAGGGAATCCCCCCAGAAAGAGGCTGGTATTGAGCTGCCCCTCTGAAGGATGGATCCATTTCCAAGCAAGGACCGTTTTTTTACTTTTGGTCATTATGTTCCTGCTTTTTGGTATTGCCTCTAATTACACAAAGCTCTTTGTTCTAACTGGCTTTCCCAGTTTAGGCTCTCTGAAATTATCTGCAGCAGAGACATTCCTGCTGTCTTTGGCAAGGGATTTATTTTTGCACTGGATGTTCTGAGTCAGATTTCCGGCAGAGCCTATTTTCATTTTTTGCATATGTCATGAGTTAGAGATAGGGGTAAGGGAAGAGAGCTGTTGGCTGCTTTGGTTAAGCATCTGAGCTCTTGTGGTTCAAGGTAGTTATACTTCTGAGACTGATTTTTATTTTTAACTGGTCAAATTCACAAGAGACTGATGGGTGAGGTATACCATGGAGATAGCCCATAAGGGTAATGGTGACTCAAACATAATGTTACAGTTTGAATTCTGAACTTAACAAGCTGTATAGAACTTTGGGGCGGGGGGGGGGGAGCAAGTTACCAACTCTCTTAAGTCCTCACTTCTTCTGTAAAACAGGTATAGAACATGGTACTTAATGAGGTTTGTGTGTATAAATGAGATAATGCTGACGGTTTCTAGCTTCTCTCATCTGGCACATCTTAGTATGTATTAGCAATTATTATTGATAAAGTGCCAGGGACTCAATTTCCAGTGGATACAGACCTGTCGAAAAAGCCACTATTTGTGTAGGGCAGTCTTTCCTGGTAGGCAGGTCCATGCAGAGACTAAATTCAAGTTAACAAGAGTTCAGTGAACATACTCAAGACAGAGAGCTGGAGGAGCTAGATGTTTCTATTAAGTCAGTCAAAGCGGGGTAGCTAAATTATCCTGCTTGAGGAAATGATGTCTCCCATCCTTTCAGGTGAGTCCTGATTTAAAGTCTTTTTCCCTATTGCCAGCATAAATATTCTATCTATAAACTTTACATTGCTAGATACAAATGCACCGCCCCTTGCCCCCCTACCCCCACCCCACTCCCAGCCTGTCAGCCAGAGGCAGAGCAAAAGTCTTTTTGTTTGACTTGGTTAACTTTTAGGTTTATTGATTGGTTGCCTTCTATATGTGCCCTGACTGGGGATTGAACCTGAAACCTAGGTAAACATGCCTTGACCAGAAATTGAACCCACAGCCTTTTGATGTATGGGACAACACTCCAAACTACTGAGCCACACTGGCAAGGGCTAGGTGGATATTTTTCTTTAGATAATTATTATGGATCATGAAACCATATCTACCTTTTTCTCTCAATTTGTTTTCTACTTTCAATATTCAGTATTCCTAAAACTTGTGCTTATCAACTCATCATAAGTGGTTCACATTTCAGTGTTTTAGTGTATCTTAATATTTACATCTTAAATTAGAGATTTTCCCAAAAGGATTCCATCTCATGTTCAAATTTTTGCATTTCTTTTTGGAGGGTTATTTCTTGGGAAAATTTTCATAGTGATCGTTCTTAACCTTTGTTTTGACCATGAGTTTTCTTTTAAAGGGTGATATTTATTAACTCTCTTGAAATTCTTTAGGCTTAGATCTTATTTGGGACCTTTAACACTTCTTCCTTGAATTAATACTTGGCATTTCTGCCATGGTACCATAGAGAAAGAGTTGGTAATGAAAGTTGGATGATAAAGGTACTTCTGTGCTTTGCTATAGAGAAGCAGGTGCTGCTAGCAGAAGAGGCTGGTGTCTGTCAGAATATGTCAAACATGGTTTGGTCTTAATTGGTTGTAATGCAGACATTGAAGTGAGAGTTCACGCTGTGAGAATGCTCTGATACGGCCTTTGAGATACAGGAGATCTCTTGAAATTGAATATATCCTGTGAGATAATAAGTTTGATATTAATGGGAATGAGAAAAGGAAATAAAAAGGATGATTTGCCCAGCAGAGCCCTATACAGACATTAAATTACAGTAGTGAAGCCATTCAAAGCACTTTAAATGTAGGGAGGTGGAAGAGGGTTTGGGGGGATAAACAGTGATGGAAGGAGACTTGGAGTTGTGAATATACAATACAATATACAAGTGATGTATTATAGAATTGTATACCTTAAACCTATATAATTTTATTACCACACGTCATCCCAATAAATTCAATTTAAAAAGACACGTGTAAATATCTAGAATTCAAATTGTTTGTCATAGGCATTAATTTCCTAGCCCAACTCAATTTCCATATCCTTCCATGGATATGGAAGGATAAGCCCTGGCTGATGTGGCTTGGTGGGTTGAGTGCTGGCCTTGTGGCCAGAGGGTCGCTGGTGCAGTTCCCCATCAGGGCACGTGCCTGAGTTGCTGATGTGCAGTTCATGGTTGGGGGAATGTAGGGGGTAGCCAATTGATGTCTCTGGTACATTGCTGTTTCTCTCTTTGTGCCTACCCCTCTCTCCAAAAGTAAAGAAATAAAACCTTTAAAAAAAAGGCGCTTTTTTTTTTTTTGTGGTTCTTTTTAAGTAAGTTTTTCTGCTTTTTGAATATAAGCCTAGTATTTACGGGCTGAAGGCTACTAGTGTGGTTTCTGTGTGTTCTAGCCAAGTAGTTTGCCACAGCTGGAACCCCAGGGTGGCCTATTGAAAGGCTTTATTTGGCACT